TTCACCTTAAAGTTAGTTAACCACACAAACGCTAACCTAAGCTAAAGTGTTGAACCATAAGGTAAAATAAACTGGGGGGGCTAATTTTCAGGTGATCACAATTATATAACGTAAACTCTCCATACAAAAAAATATTTGACCATCCCACGTTAACACTGAAACAATTACTTTACTAAGCTGAGGCACCAAAACATTCAAAATCCACATTCAGTGTATGAGAAGAGCATCTATCCACCAACACCCTTAAAACTATGCATGACTCACATATTACAAACATTTTCAAGAGGACCCGAAAAATCAACGCCCTAAATATGAGCATCTGGTTTCAAGTAGATATACCAAACCATTTGTCTGTTATCGTGTACAAAAGACCCCAAGTAAAGGAGAACTAAGGTAAAAACCAAGGAGTAGGAGGAGGAGTGTAAAGGCACCACGCTGCTTGTAGTAAAATCAATGAGCAAACTGTGTGCAGAGGCGGTGGTGGGGGCGACCTCCACTGTCTGTTATGACGTCACTACCCACCACCGCCCCCAACACTCTCTTGCCGCCGGGGAGAAGCTGAAGGGAGGGGGAATAGCTGGGAGGAGGAGGAGAGGGAGGGGAATAACTGGGAGGAGGAGAGGGAGGGGCTGGGAGGAGGAGGAGAGATAGCTGGGAGGAAGAGGAGGGAGGTAGTTGGGAGGAAGAGGAGAGGGCTGGGAGGAGGAGGGAGGGAGAGGGAGGGGGGAATAATGGGAGGAGGAGGAGGAGTAGAGGGAAAGGAATAACTGGGAGAAGTAGGGGAATAGTTGGGAAGAGGGGAGGGGGAATAACTGGGGGGAGGAGTAGAGGGAATAGTTGGGAGGAGGTGAAGGAGGGAGGGGCACTGGGGAACTATGAAGACGAGGAAGCTGAATAGGTGGGGAGTGGGGAAAGGAAGGGGCAAAGAAGGGTTTGGGAGGGGAGGAGAAAATGGAAGAAATATGTGAAATTTGAGGGGAGATAAAGAGTATGGTGAGGGAAAAAGAGAAGATGATGATGATGATGGAAAGAAAAGGATTGGGCTGACGAAACGTGGGAAGAGGAATGAGGAAGAAAAAAAGAGGGGGAAGGAAAGGAAAGATCGTGACTGGATCCCAAAAAACACACAAGTTACACCATCGCCTGACATTCTCCGCCGTCGGTCGTGTGTTTTTTCCTGGCAACACTGTTAGATGGATAGTGTTTGTCGGTCTATCTTAACCAAGCGAATCTATCCAGTTTAAAATCATCTAACCTAATCAACTTAAAATCACCTAACCTAACCAACTTAAAATCACCAAACCTAACCTAGCGCTGTCACCCTCTCTAAAAATTATGGGATACAGATTTTTGCAAGACTATCTGTTAATACTGATACTAGGGACTTAAGTTTTGTACAGTATTATGTTTTGGTACCTGAAAGCAACACGGATTTGAATATTACGCGACAATTACTGAGACCAATGCCCTTTTCAGGTTGACTTGATTTAGTTATCAACTGCTTTTTTTTTAACATTTAGGTGTGGTCCTTAGTTTTCTACAACGATATATGTGTATGTGTTAAAGTATATTTTCACGACTGAGTACACCCCGAAATTCGCCATGATTAAGTTTTTAAAAAATGAATTGTGATCAAGCATTGCACTCATTTAGAAATCTACAACCGGCCTGGAAGGTTCCACTGGGGTCCACACAATTCAAAAACATAAATAAAATAAAATAGCAATGTTGTGGTTTTAAACCTCTCGGGGTGAACAAAACTTGCTGAATGGGTCCCGGGCCCCAGTGTAATAACTGTGTCAAGTTGTGTTTATTGAGTCATAGTTATTCTAGAATGCTTCAGACTATCAACAAACATATAACAGTGTATGCTTCCGTTATCCAAAATGCATTGCACCTTATTATTCACCCCCCAATTACAAGATCGTGTGTAGCTAACAAGTATACGCAATATTGGTTTATCTTTTTAACCGAGGTAAGTATTATATCAACATTCGAACAAGCTCCCACTAATTATATAAGGATAACCTCTACCAACCGGAAAAGTGAGTGGGTGACGTACATTATTTTCGCTTTTTGTTCTTTTTTGGACATGTCATAGATGCGCCAGATCAAACTTATGTGATACAATACAATTTTCTAGACCGGAAAACCTACGTTAATCCTTCTCAACTACACTTCCACTGTGGACATCTCAGAGTAAAGAAATATCATACAGGAGTTGGCAGGCGGCAGGTTCTCCCACCCCTCAACCTAAGTATAGACCCTGGTATTTCCTTTCTCTTTAACTCCAAGTAACAATTTTCATGGGTACCTTGGTGACACAATGGGGGGGTGAGCCCACGCACAAAGATGAACATGGGGGTGGAAGCATGAGTATGGAGGAGGCGCCAGGAAGGCGGGCCACAAACCACAGGGTGGGCGGGGCTTACCTTTCGAGTCACATATTAGTCTCGTGGTGCACCTCTACCATCTAGTACTGTACTCTAACTTTCCTCATGTTCTGGTTAACAACACTTTTTTCCGTTAACTTTTCTGTTTTCTGTTTTGTTTGTTTTCCGTTTTGTTTCCCCAAGAGTTGACAATTTTCAGGAGCGTCTCGCTCAGACAGAACGTATCGTTACCGCCTGATTGGTTTGTGCCATTTCCGTGGTCAAGGTCCATACTCGATAATGAGGATATTTATAAATATCATGTCACGTAATATAACTAAATTTAATTTTAAAAGTATTCATCATTGTATTTTAATAAGTATATTTTTTATGATATTCGCAAATACATTTGTTTGTTTCCATGAGCGGTTTGTTTAACTTCACGGCATCTCTATTCCTGTGTAAAATATAGGTATACAATGCACGTAGACCGTGGGAGTATACAGTTACCTGTGCAGAAACAATGAAGGTAAGTAATTGTATATAGTAAGGCAACTTGACCAAGGTTTAGCCGACAAAGCTGCCAGGTGCTATTTCCAAGGAGGGTCCTTACGCTTGGTCTCTAATCAATAAATCTACAGGAGTATTAGTGAAAAAAATTTTTTAACACAATTCAACAAGCATCACATTGAGCTTGGAATATCCGAGACTGGTGTATCTCTACCGGAGTACTACATTCTGTGGTTTAATAGTACAGAAATGACAACTAGAATACTAGGTGGAAGCAGGAAAGCTGGCAGGTCCCCCAAAAAAAAAACTTCACCCTGTTGCCATTAACAAATCAGGGAGAAGCGAGTCGCATTAACCTAAACATGGTACATGAAAGTGAAAATTTTAAATTGTAATACAAACAAATTGCGTTTTGTTTTTACCATAAGGTTAATTTCCCAAATGAGTGCCATACTGCGACTCATCTGTTTGCGGCTCCGACGCCGCCATTTTACCAGTATAAACCTGTTGTTTATGTTTTAGAGAACCACCAGTATAGGTGGTGCAGGACGACTGTCTGGCGGCCCCCTAGCAGCGCCAAAGCTAATTTAGGTGGGTTAGGAGGCAGGTGTAGGGGCACTTTGGTGGCGCCAAGGCTCACTAGCCTTCCAAACAACACGCACCAGACTATCCACTTTTATAGAATGCTTCTCTTTGTTTTGATAACTTTAGATTCTTGACTGTGCTCAGGCACTTTTCTAATATTCAAAAACTAGACTGGACGGATTCTGAACAAATAATGGGGACCAAAAGTCATGAAGAAATATTTACGTACATTGTCGATTACATAATTAATTTAGGTCCGTACGCAACTTTCTAGTTAACAAACGTAAAAACGTATCAGCATTAGAAGGCAAAAGTCAAGAGATCTGAGAGCAAACGAAAATATCAGATAGTGCAAGGCCAATTAGTATCACTGTACTATAGTTATCAGTACAATCAGAACGAACTTTGCACCAGGAGTTGCCCCTAACATTCATAGCTTGGTTAGCGTGACGCCACATTTGGAAATCAGTGTAAAACGTGACATGAAAGCATCGGGTAGTTCTAATATTTGTCCGATAAATACTTAGGCCCATAGGCAATACAATTTTCTATGAATTTCGGGCAAAGTCGGGATTCCAAAAGTCATTTTGTGTACTTGAGATTCATAACCTCTTTTACTACTAGTATAAAGTTACGGAAATTATATTAAAATATTTCAAATGCCCCCAAACACATTGTTTTCATATTCGTAGTAAATGAACAACACAATACAGTGCATAAACACACATGAACCCAAAATACTGTACTAAAATAAAAAAACTAAATAATTAAAGTTCAATTTACTTACCTGTAAAAATAACCTATAAACAAGCTATAAAGTACAGTATATCAAAGTTTATAGATGTGATACTCAAAGATATGATAAGAAAAGATATCGGATGACCAGTCAGTCGGGTGACGAATCGAGTCAAGTAGGCAACCCAAGGGTCACGTAATGCTGGTATTGATTACGTTAATTATTCAATGATGGACTTACATCACACCCTGGGACGTCATGCCTCCGTCCTGATTACCTGTCCTGTGTTATGCATCAACTGTCATTATCCACGTAACTCACAAGCACGCACGTAGACACATACACTTCAAAATCATAAACAAATGCTCATAAACACGTGTGTGTGTATATATATATATATATATATATATATATATATATATATATATATATATATATATATATATATATATATATATATATATATATATATAGTATTGGACAAATACAGTAGTACACAGTAGTATAATGTATACACATACTGTACATGCACTGGTATCCAAGTGGAAGTACGTACACAAAGGTACTCATACACATATCAACTAACAATACAGTCACACAGAATGAAAAAGGAACTACAATACAGTATACTGTATTTATGCAGGGGCAAAATAACCAGCGACACATTGCATTTTGAAGCAGCAAATTTAAAATTATCTAGCAGCATTTGATACATTCATCACTGCGCTGTATTTTTTAAGCCATTTTGCCCCTTGTAAATGCAATACCGTACATAATAACAAGATCAGTGTACTCACCCATTAGCAGTTTCCTTCACCAGCTTATCTTGAGTGTCATTATTTTCCTTTTTATCTGTTTGCGTGAGTTTCTCAGTGTTTTTATGAACATCCTTCATCAACTTATTGTGTTCAACACCACCACTTTTCTTATCTACCTTACTGTCTTTCTCACAGTTCTCATCTTGATTGGACAAAGATGACTTTCCTGAGATAAAGAATACCTCATTTTTATACGAGACTTCCGGCTTTAGCTGTTCTTTGTTCTCAGCCTTTCCTGCCAATTCTCCTTTACTCACTCGTTGTAAGAAGTCAGGCATTTTGTTTTCCACAGCTGTTTCATGTATCACTTCCTTGTGTTTCTTCTCTTCCATCAAATCCTGCGGCAGAAAAAATTACGGCATTTTAAAACTACTGTACCAGACTTGCTATTTCTGTCATAATAAGGAAGCATTGTTGCTGAATGATTTACCTTTTTTTATACAATATACATGTACACTTTTCAGTCCTCCTATCAAGAGTAGAGCACATGCACCTATATCTCAAAAATATAAAACAATTTGCTTAGAAAACATACTTATCAAAAGAGAATTTAACACTCATCTTTAGTTCATAAATATACTGTACTGTACTGCAATCTACTGTAATTCTGAAATTAGCTGAACATAATTATGAACAATAAAACTTACTGAACCACAAATTTGGAAACCATGACCAATGAGTAGAATTTTCAAAATAAAAAAATTCCCCCAACAGAACTTTCAGTTTTGGGCAATTCTGTTTATTGTACAGTATAGGAAAAAAAAGTGGACTTGTTCTGTACACGAGTTTTAAAAATTGTCTTATTTAAAGTTAATAAAATCTGTGCTCAGTGCTACATGACCCTGGTAGCACCTTTGGTGCCACAACTTCCAGTTATCAAGCACTGTTCACCAAGTCTTAATTTCAATAATGGACATTTTTCTCAGACTGTATTTAAGATGGTGTACAGCCGTTAAAAAAAAATCACTTGCAAGGTAGCATAACTATTAGATGTCTTTTTTTAACACTACTTCTCACACTGTTGATGGAGTTGATATTTGATTAAAAGGGGAGACCATGGACCATCACTTTCATCACTTTACATGCTTTACCCCATTTTAAATAGTAGCTGAATGAGGTTATGTTAATTTTACCCCCCTTACACTTTTTGTGGGGTGGATCAGTGTACAGAAACCTTAAAGTAGGAATAGTGTAAGACAAGTGTAAAAAAACAATTTGGAAAAGTTGCGACAAGTAGAAATATTCCACACTAACACTTATACACAAGCTTAATTTACATATGTGGGAATGGTGCTAAACAAACTAAATCCTTAGACTCCACAATGATTCAATTCATACCAATTGACTGTGGATGATGATCAGCACAATCCTACCACCTACTAAGGTTCAGAACATCATAAGTAAACAGTAACATACATTACATACCTTACTAGCTCCATCCGTCACCTTCACCAATGGATATTTCACTCCAAACTTCACTTCTTGTGACACTTGATCTTCAATAATACCTTTACGTATTACATTTATAAATTTTTCCCTACACTTTAACATCTTTTCATTTACAACAGGGCGTATGTCATTCAACTTACTGGAAACCTTTAATTCTTTGTTTTCCAAATTCGGTTTCAATAGCTCAACTTCTTTTGGGCCTGAAGAGTTGATACGATTTAGGTTCCTCTGTATTTGAGTTGAAAGTTTATTCAATGTATCTAATGCCGATTCTTTATGACACTGCTTAGGAGTTTCTTTGATTCTATGAGATTCTGCAGCAATGTGCTTTGTTAAAAATTCATTCTTTATGGAATTGAGTATATTTTTGGTATCTTCCGCTTTATAGGCAGCTTTTAAACCGGATTCATTTTCTTGATTGACAGTTATGCCAAGCATACTTTTTGCCCTATCCACATTGTGCTGAGACAATAAATTAAATCTCTCTGCAACCGTAGAAGGAGGTGGCGTTGACGTAGCTTTGCTATGTTTTTCATTTTCTGGGGCCTTGGCTGTGTTGTGGGGGACAAGTTCACCATGGCAGAACCTGAAAATGAGAAATTAAAATTTATATTACTTCACGGAGTACATATTTCATCACTGTACTGCACAGATATATATACAGGGTACTGTATACTATACAGTACGGTATACCCAATCAAAATGGCCACAGGGTATCTGGAACACTATCACACATTAACTAGTAATTTAAGGAAATTGTTTAATAGAAGATATATAGTACAGTACTTGCATACTCCAAGAAAATCCCATCAAGATGACAGGGATTTGCAATTCCCATATTATTATTTTTTGGCGATTTCTTCCATCCTGGACACTAATCTATGTCAATGCGCAATGATGCCATATTCACTGCATACCTGTGGAAAGTTTCCTTTCATCAACAGGAACACTTCCAAAACATACCAGCTACTACTGTACTACAGTACTGTACTATACAAGATGAATCTACCTTAATCTACTAGATAGATTAGATTAGATTAGATTAGATTAGATTAGATTAGATTAGGTAGGTTGGTTCATTTTATCTATGATAAATCTTATATTGTAGCAGTACTGTAGCTGGTTAGTTGTTCCTCTGTGGATGCATTTATATGTATGAAACACTGTTCAGGAGAAATTTGCCACAACTGAAGTCAGTTCAGGAAACAAGTGACTGGGTGTTCTATAAAATTTTTCCAACTCTGAGCATAAAGTATCCAAGTTGTAACTGAAATTATGTTACTGGTAAAGTGTTTGTGGCTATAAATGTAAATTTTTTGATCGAGCAAAAACTTTGTAGAAGGACAATGACATGTGCAGGTATACCTCATTTAACCATGGCATTCTGTTCCTGAAAACCGAACATTAAGCTAAATTATTGCTAAACGAGAGATAACAGTAAAGCACAGAGGGTGAACAACAGATTAAAACGGCAGGGAAATAAACACGTAGTACAGTATTGTACTCCCTAATAATAATAACAAATGAGCTTTGAAATTAGATGATCGATTTATTAACACCAAACTTCTATATAAATGACGAGGTTCAGAGTCAGACGATTTAGTGAACAAAAGGCAAGTCTAATTCAAACAAATATCAAATTGCATACACAGTACAGTGCAGTCTCTCCTCAACTTACGACGGGGTTCCGTCCTGACGACCAGGTTGTAAGTCGAAAAGGCGAAAATAATACATAGAAATTCTAAAATGGGTGTCTCTTTTTCTTCTCAGCACCACAAGAACTCTCACTTTTACGCTTGCCAGCCATTTTAAAGGGAATTACGCCGGGACTCGAAAATACGTAATGTGAAAAATAGTTTATACGACCATGGCCGTCGTATGTCCGGGTTGTCATAAGTCGAGGAGACTGTATATAAAAAGTTAAAAAAATTGCTATGACAAACAATAAACTTTATACACAGCATATCATAAAATACAATAGCACATATCTTAGGTACAAAAAATTACTTTATCCACACTCAAACCATACTCTGGACAATGTGACAGTCCAGCTGGTTAGTCATCCAGCTGCCTCAGAAATGTGTGTGGTAGTGTCGTGATCGTGACATCACATTGGGGGGAGCGTGCACAGCTGGGTGCAAGTCAGTGACGCAGTTACAGCCCACTGCCTCCATATGTTCACTCCATTAGATTGTATTTTCTTTATTTCTAAGCCACACTAGAGTATTGTAATTATTTTCCACAACATGCCATCTCACAGGCCACCTCATCCACAGTTTATTCTCCTTCCCGGTGAGTCGAGTCAAGCTATCTCCAAACCGTATTTCGACCAATTGTTAAGTGAGAAAGGGTGACAAAATTTTATTATCACTAAACCGAATTAACATTAAGTAAATTAATGCAAAATGAGGGATACCTGTACTGTATTTACCATTTACATCTGGAGCGTTTCATTATCACCAAAATATTAAAGGTACCTGTACAGTATAATAAAATTGGCACATTCTCGTAATTTCTTGAAACGGTCACGTTATAAAATTTAGTGCCGGAAGTCCTGGAATTATGAATGGGTTACATTCCTGGACTGCATTCATAGGTTTACAGGAGTATTTGTTCTTAACTCAGCACCATGTTAATTTTGCAATAATACAGTACTGTAATAAAACCCCATGTTTGCCTAGAAAATCAAAACAATTATAACACATAAATAACAAATAGTGGAAACAATGCATGCATACTACAGCATATATATAGTATAACAAAATAGTTTCATGGTTGTAAGTGCTGTACTAGAAAATGTTTGTAAGTTCAGTACAGGGTCATTGTTCGTTAATCAACCATTACCCTTTTCACAGGATTTTTTTTTTTCGCTAGTTTTAGATGATTCTGACATGGGAAATAAGAGTAAAACTAAATTAGGTTCTACGTACTAACCTAACCTAACTGGCCACGTCCTACTTAGACGGGGGCTTTGCCTCCCGGACTCCCCAATGACGCCGAGAAGCGACGGATGCACAGTGTTATGTAATTTCCATTCACCTACGCATCACGGTGTTTATTTTTGGAATTCCCCATTAAATTCAAGAATATTCTATCATTTCGCGAAGAGATCGATTAAATGGTATGAGTAAAAATCGTCAAAAGGTGATGGATGATTAATGAAAAATGACCCAGTAGAGGTATGAGTGTTCATAACTCAGACATTTATAACTTGAGGACCCCCTGTAATAAAAAGGTGCTACTATAGGGTGTGTTCTACAAGATATTTAGGTTAGTTTAGGTCAGGTTAGACTGAAGATATGTTTGTAAACCGCATGCTATAGTAGCACCAATAAAAGCTATCACCTTTTATAAAAAATTATTTTAAAATTGCCAATTCTTTCTGTGTATTGAGCGGTTGCTAGGAGGTGTTCCTCTGGATGAAATGAAACTTTCTGCATATAAACAATTCAATACAGGTAATGGCTTGTTTTATTTCACAGCAGCATAAGGAGCCTGCAGAGGCTGTGGCATACCAGTACAAACTGTTACACTTAATACAGACTATTGTTAATGATTAAAGCTGCCTTTAAGGTAATACTGTACTTAACAACATTGGTACTGTATACCTTTATCACCAACTTAAGAAATTTCTTCATAAAACAATAAAGTTTTCTTGCCACAAGAAACAGACAAAAAGTGCAAGAAGAATAAGTTTTGTATACAGTATTGTAATATAATTTGTCTGAAATCTGTGAAAGAAGTTACCAAAGGGCACACCACAGTCGTCAAGTATTACCCCTGTTTATAAAGTAAGACAATTAACCAATAAATGAAGGTATACTGTACAAGGAGAGTATAAAATTACCTTACCAAAAAATATCACTTATAATAAGTGATGCTTTTGCTTGTTGGGCATAACATTAATATTTCTATCAATCCTTTCCATATTTTGCAGTGTTTAAGTACAGTAATGCAAAAAATGAAAATCTGCTGGGAGTACAAAAAAAAAAAAAAAGACTGGGTATGAGGATATTAATATAAAGGTGAAAATCTGCAGACCTTAGCAATATACCGTATACTTTAGGCAGTGGATACTTTGCATTGACCGGCTAGGTTCCTACAAATGCTATTTTATTGCGAGTGCGCTCTGATTGGCTAATAGTCCATTACTGGCGAACAATGCGAGAACTATCTTTGACTGTGACTGGCAGCATTTGGCCTTTATTTTGCCATGAGTCGATCGTTGTAAAGCTATAAACATTCCTAACCTTATTCTGTTGTTCATGGAAAATTATCATTATAAAAGAGGCGAAATTTATTAGAGCTTAATAGAACCTGATCTGACCAACCAAAAATCCTACCTAACCTGACCTAACTTCCTTGCCAGGAGTGCTATATGGAATAGGCTACCGAGTGCTATAGTAGGATCGGGGACGCTAGGGAGCTTCAAGACGAAGTTGGATAGGCACATGGAAGTGCTGGGATGGGTGTGAAAGGGATCTGCCCTGCATGGGCCAGTCGGCCTCCTGCAGTATCCCACTTTCTTATGTTCTTATGTTCTTATGTAAGTACTTAGCCACTACGTATACTTTGTGATGCTTGCAAGTGTAAAGCCCTAACCTAACCTAATTAAAAGATAATACAGTACACCGTCGTTAGATGAGATTAGGTTGGTTCATCATATTTCGTATAAATCACATACAGGTACAATAATGTAGCAGTCGCTGCACACATTTATATGGAAATCTCTGAAAGCATTCATGTGAGGGTAAGCATGGACTGTATTTATGAACAACAGACCAAACATAATACATGGTGCCAGCTGTATATGGCAGATGCTAGACTAATCTTATAAAAAAAAATGCAAAAATTGGAAATCCTCATCACCGTTTGTGTTTTTTTTAGAAGTAAGAGTGAAATTGTCTCATGCAATATTTGTTTAAAGTAGGTGGTTTAGGTACACAAGATCTTCCCAGAGCCTTGCTCCAGTCCACATACATAATTATAAGATAACCGAAATAAGATGGCAGTTCTCCATAACTTAAAAAAAATTCAAAACCAATTTTGGACAATAGTACCCCAACTTTTCCTATGCCCTGTGTATGATACACAAACTATACCAGGAACAACTTACCCATATTGGATACACAAAATGACGAAGACGATTATCAGTTTGTACATCACATTAGTACACTTGTGCCTTAAACACTTCCTATGTGTATGGCCAAGTAAGATCTCGTTTGGTTGATCTCGATAACACTCCATAGGTTTAGCCATCGCACTTATTTGTACCACTTGAGGTCTCTCCCAACGGTATTGTTTAAGAAATATTGCTTCCACATTTTCATAAAAATCTTCTTGATAAAGCTCATTGTCTTATTAAGACTGCAGGAACATATTACCAACGGTTTCAGCCGTTTAAATGGAGGTTCTTCCACTGAGCTACTGTGCCAAGCTACACTGACGTGTATATTGTTTTGGTCAGCGTTGCCAACTGGACTTGCTAATACCGCTACATATATGAAATTGACAACACTAGAATCTTGCTACAGTGACACAGCTTTTATCACAAGGTTTTCATTGTTTTCACTTAGTACAGTCAGAACAGTTTTAGGTGTGTTGGGATACAAAGACCAAATGCATTCAGCAAAATCTCACAACAGCTTATATATTCCTTAATTGTGTAACTCTGAATTGCTACCAGTCTATTTTTATTTTTCCGTTATTTTCAGAAACTGCATCAACATTTCTTTTTATACCTTCTAGGGATATTATTTTGTTCTTGACTCATTAATCACCCTTCATATTTAGTTATTCGTGGATTGTAACCTCAAAGTGCATAACTCATTCTCATTGTGCGGCCTCAGGTAATAGTCATGTTACTTTTGAGTTTCCATACATTTTCTAATTATAACAGTTAAAATAACAACTTTATAATGTTTTTACCATGTATGGTTTATTTCACCTGTACTGCAGTTATAGACTATATACTTGTACATACTTGTACCCAGCCAAACACTATGAAACAGACTAGAGAAAATATACGGTATGCATATCATTCTCTTTGCATTGGTTGATGACATAGTAAAGTCGAAATAATTTTCACAAGTTGTCTTAAAGGTGGAAACAGAGCTAACAAAGAGTGATATATGTATGAAAATTGCATTTACATTTGCTAACATTAGCAATTCCAGTGGAATGTCGGGCGAACATGTCCTTTTCCCTACTGATCAGCCTGTTATGAGAGATGTAGATTCTGAAAACAGCCCTTGTAATTTTGTGAAACATAATGAAATGAAATGAAAAAAGAAAAACATACTAATTTTAAAAGTGAAAACATTGGCGCTCTTCATACTTCTACCATAATCTGTGATTTTTCCCTCATTTCTGTATACAGCACAATGTACTTTGATATTAGTAATGAATCGTCGTTTGAAGAATGGCACTAATAATTTATCTTAGCCTCATAATATTTCACTATAAATCACAATTACTTAGTTTTCTCCCCGTCTTGTTATTGTCATCACTTTAACCTTGACCTTTAGTTACTTATCGATCTTCAAGAGTTCTCATGTTGCCGGCCGATGTGTCTCATAAACACTGTGAAAGTCAAATCAAGGTAGATTCTTTTGGCAAGTAAACACGGTGAAATTGGAATGCTGAAACGGTATTCTTATTAAATAAAGAAGGTCATGACGGAAAAGCAGGACTTCCATCGCCATCTCTAGGTTGTTATAGCACCAAAAGCCAACTTCAACTTACAGACGGTCTGGACAACATAAACTCCGAAGGATATAACAAAACGTTTGGAAACCAGGGAACATTAATACTATGTAATTATATTTTGTAATTATATTCTTGAATGACCAGGAATCATGTTTCGAATCACCTGCAACTTGAATTTTGAAATTTTTTGAAAAATAGCAGTAACTATCCAGCTGTGACCCAATGAAGAAAGTTTGACAGACTCTAGGCAATAGCGAAGTTTATAGAAAGACAAGAAAAAAGACAAAACCAGTTAAGAACACACGATGAAAAGTACGGTAATCCAGAGATTACCAGATACCGTAGCAATATTCCTCGCGTAAATTGTTAAGGAACGGCATACTTGAGGATCGAAACTCCCAAGTTACAACGTAATCAAGAGATAAATGTCTTTATTCAAGACATTGTGGATCTACGCCAAACACACACACACACACACATATATATAATATATAATATATATATATATATATATATATATATATATATATATATATATATATATATATATATATATATATATATATATATATATATATGGGTGTGTGTACGCATACGTACTTTAATGAGATTTGGTGACGGAAGCGCTAAGCGTGGCATAACGGTAAGCCAGCAACGATATCAGAAGGAAGATTTTGCTTGCTGAGCTGCGCATACCTCTCTGCTGAGTTCAAAATCCTTTAACTCAATAATGCATACACGAAGGATATTTTTAGACCTTTCTTTTCGACGAGAACTTGTTCATCATGAAACTATGCGGAGTAAATGGTTAATTATTCAGTAACATTTATGAATACTCAGTAAGCAGTAGTCACGACGTCCTCCACTCAATTGCAAGGTCGCAAGCACACTCGCTATTCTTAGCAACATACTCAAGCTAAATTGACAACTCTGCTAGAAGCGTTCTACAAGCGAACCCAGTAACCTCCAATGAGTGCTGTTTGCCTAAATTACTGTATATGTAGGTGACGCATCCCTGAACATCCAGTTCACTAATAATAAAATCAAATAAAACCCATGTATAGAGACTGGAAGTTTTCAGGTCGGATTTATAGGGGGCTATCATGTTGATAGATCAGTGTAATTACTAACTTTATTACTCGCTTATAAAAGGTACAAGAAGTGGATGACTATTACAAAGTACTGTTCAAAATAAAAGGATATTATATGAAAAACAATTACCAAGATTCATTACAAGAATTATGAAATATTAACTGTAGGAAATAAAATTTGTTAAAATTAGGAATTGTTATATTCTTAAAAAAAAAAAAAAATTGAGTTGAAAACTACTTCGCCGCGATTCGAAAATAATGCGATTTCTTTGGGAGTTAGAGTCTAACTTGTGGTCGAAAAACGGGATTAAGATCTTACAGAAGTGAAATGTACATACAAATAAAATAAAGTGGACCCCATGCACAGGCTTAGAAACCCGTTTAAAAATGTTCAAAGGAGGACCACCAGACTGGTGCCTGCACTTTGGCACTTCAACTACCCTGACAGGTTGGAGCGCCTGAACTTGCCTAGCTTGTACTCCAGACGGGTAAGGATGACCTAATTCAGGTGTATAAGCATCTCAAGGGGCACTACTCAGTCAAGTGTCCTCGCTTGGAGCTGGCGGACGCTCGCCCCACAAGGGGTCACAGCTCAAGATTGAAGAAGCCGCAGGTCCAGAAAACTGTGAGGGCAAACTTTTTCGGAGTGAGAGTTGTAAACTCTTGGAACAATCTACCAGAAAGTGTTGTGACGGCACCGAGTGTGAGCTCTTTCAAGACCAGACTTGACCAATACTGGAGCAGGTTCAGGTACATTCAGGAGCCGGTGCATGCCCAGTACTTGCTAACAGTGCGTAACAGAGACGTGACCGATTATTATTATTGTTGTTATTATTATTATTATTATTATTATTATTATTATTATTATTATTATTATTATTATTATTATTATTATTATTATTACATTTTCGCCCCCCAGGCCCCGATGTGGGTCAGTGACCTGTGCCTGGGTGGGCTAATTCCCGTAAAAAAAAAAAAGCGGCTAACGAGCCGATCGGTGATGAAGAAGATAAAAGTAAAGTAAAAGTGGCAGGGTGGATATAACTCAATACTACAGTCCTCTGTTTATAGGGAGATCTTTTAAGTGTTTGGATTATAGATATCATATGTATAAGTTTAATAACATCGAAAATTGAAAGTTAATTAGGATATACAATGGCAAATAAACAATCAGATATACAGTACAAATATGGTGATTTCCATGTAGTGAAATTATCAAAGAAATGGTGCCTTCATCCAGATCATTAATACAAATGTATCTAAAAACTACTCACCAGATCTTTTGATTCTTAAAAACAATAAACCTATTTTATAATCAACTCGCACATCAAGTTAGAACTAAATTAATATATTAAAATGTTCAAATGGCTAAACATGTGAAGAAAAATATCCCGTTAAGATCAGGATTTTAGTAAAGCAATACGAGTCTGCCTGTACTGGTTATAGACTGGAGAAAGAATGGCAGAAAGTGCTTGAAGTGGAAGTGTTGGCATTCATAATTATGACAATGAAGTCGATGAATAGTAACATAGAAATTATAGTTCCCCACAACATACGCGGTGGGGCACATTTTCTCTAAGTTAACATTATTCTTAGAGAAAATGGATAGGGGACTCTTCTATGTAGCGGAGCAGCGTAGTCTCAAACAGTCTTTTACTGTATATTGCTTTTATCGGGGTTCTGTCGACATAACCAGTGGATCATAACTGTAATTTAACATATGAAAAAAGCCAAAGAGTACAACTAACCAGAAATATCAGCTGCTGCATGTTAGGCTAGCCCAAGCGGCTAACAAGCCGATCAGTGGCGAAGAGGATAAAAGTAAAAGTAAATGCAAATGATAGATTCTCACTTGTATATCTAGCAGGACATTCTTAAGACCTTTTGACCCATATCGGTAGCCATCTTCAAAGAAATAACAGGATTTACAATAAGCTAAAGTTAACCTTAGTTGTTGAAGCGCAGTAATAAAGTTAAAACCACGTCATTATTTCATACCTTATTCTGGTGGACAGCGTGGAAGCACAATTTGAAGAGAAATATTATGGGATTACACTCGGTCCTTAAAATGATTGAGAACAATAACTCTTCATGAAATGCCTATGAATTCTGCTTTTTAGTTGGTGTTGGTGGTACATCGGTAACGTCAAGGGTTCGAATCCTGCTTAGCCCCCTGCTTAGCCCAGACACACGTGAGAAGGGTGTTTCCAGTGTGATCGTCACTACCAAACATCACAGGTCTCTCGGTCCCTGGTTTCCTTTTGAACTAATACTGGATAGAACAGTGGTTCTCAACCTTTTTCACTCCATTCCCCCCTTGAGGAATTTTCAACATCCTCGTGGCCTCCACTGTTTTCGTGATGGTATCCCAGGCCAGACTGATTGTTTAATTCAGATTCCCAACATTATTTGGAAACGTACAATTTATAACAGCTCGCCGTGGCTCCCCTAAATTCATGCCGCGGCTCCCGTGGGATAGAACAACCGCCCGACCGGCTAGGTAGGTGGCGAAGAGGATAAAAGTAAAAAAAAAAAAAACGGTGGCTGGGAAGGGCTCCTGGGTATGAAACGCTGTTTAGGTATTTCTTGAACGGAACAAATATTATTAAGGCACCTTATACCACGTCTCGGCCGTCTCTTGCACACAGACATAGAATCCAA